ACGGGCTGAGCCACTCAGATGCCCCGATTTCTTGCCCTATTGAATAAATTCTGCAGGGTAAATGTGCAGATTCATCAGTCCAATCTGGTGGGGAGACGGTTACTCTATCAAGCTAGACTAGGCAGTGCCTTCAGTAGCTGGGGAAAACCCTGGCTGGCAGGGACACTCAAGTTCTAATCCCAGCACTGGCATTGACTCACTCTGTCGTTCAGGGCAGATTGACTATTCCATAGTCAATTTGATAACGTGTTACAAATAGGGACTCCACAGAACCTAGGTTCTAGGATCTAGGAGTGCATGCCTTGAACAACTTCCATTTCTACCAGTTGGAGCTGGAGAGGAAGAAGGGGGATTCTTTTTCCACATTCCCAAGCCAGTCCAGGGTACCTGATTCAGGCTGAGGGGTTCCATCAAAGCTCCAAGTAACACTCCCTAAGTGCCCTGATACATAGGGCAGCAAGCAATTTATTGGCTGCTTTCTATGGAACTCACTGACCCACATGCCATGTCCAACAGCCCTCCTTGCCTCTCCTCCACCCTTCCAGTCTGCAGCCTCATTTGCCAACCAGGACTAAATCCCTAGTTGTTGTGGGTGCTAGGAGGCAGACAGGAATGGAGTGCAAGCAAATGGTACATCCCCATCCAGTTTACTGAGCATCAGACCCTCTAAGGCCAGGCAGATTTGAGGTGGAGGTTCTGGAAGGAGGGATGGCCAAGAGCAGGTCAACCTATGTGCTCAAGCCCAAAAGTAATCTCCTCACATTCCCTTTCCAAGCCACATCTATTTAGGTTCTGGACATCTTCAATCCATTTTTGTTTTCTCCAGCTAAGCATGAGAGTCCTTGCTCTTTGCATGATGAAACTATGAGCACGAAGCATTGGCAAGAGGCCCTGTTTAAGAAGGAATGCCAAGTGTGGTGTATTCATTTCCTGTAGCTGTCAAAGGTCTGTTCCAGGAAATCTATGCTTTTTCTATCATACTCAAGATCCTTCCAGTCTCTGCTGGATTCCAGAGCTGCTTCTACATTTTTTTAGTATTTGTTATAGCAGTAACCCACTTCCAGGTATCGAAGTCTCTATTAGTTTCTTATTGCTACTATAACAATTTATCAGAAACCTAATGGCTTAAAACAATGCAAATATATTAACTTATAGTTCTGGAGTTCAGAAGTTTAAAATAAGTCAGCAGGGCTGCATTCCTTCTGAAGGCTCTGGGGGAGAATCTGTTTTCTTGCCCTTTCTTTTTTTTTTTTAAGATTTTATTTATTTATTTGACAGAGAGCGAGCACAAGCAGGCAAATCAGCAGGCAGAGGGAGAGGGAGAAGCAAGCTCTCCGCTGAGCAGGGAGCCTGACATGGGGCTTGACCCCAGGACCCTGGGATCACGACCTGAACCGAAGGCAGACACTTAACCGACTGAGCCACCCAGGCGCTCCTTTCTTGCCTTTTCTAACTTTTAGAGGCCACCTGCCTTCCTTAGCTCATGACCCCTTTCTCCATCCATCACAGCTTTAAAGTCGGGTGGGGGGGGTGGAGCTCCAAAGGATCAAAGTTTTTACACTATTGAAATTAAGATGGCATTAATCTGAACCAGGTTGTTATTCATGATAATGGTAATCTTCAGAGTGACCACGAAGAAAATAACTAAAAAATATATAATAAAAGAAATAAAGGAAGAAAATGGTATACAATAAAATGGTACTACCTGTGTACCACAAACAGTAGTAGAAAGAGGACTGGAGTCAGTAAGTTGGCCAAATAAGATGTCCCTTGTTCATATCTCATCCTAAACAACAATTTTGCACCTATCCATGGACAAAAGGACTTTTTGAGGGCTGTTGGGATCTGGCACCATACGCCAAGGAAGGAGTTACCCCCCCCACCCCATTTACCAGGTCAAAAGCATACAGGTATCAGTCCTGGCTGTGGAACCTGCAGGGGCCTCTCTTCAATATCCAAGTTCATGAAATTCATAAGTCCTCAAACAAACTCAACTGTAAAAGCTCTTCTCCAAAGACATATTGGAATGAAACTGTCAAAAACCAAAGACAAAAAGAATCTTAAAAGCAGAAAGAGAAAAGAAACTTGTAACTTACAAAGGAACCCTGAAAGGTGATCAGAGGATTTGCCAGCAGAAACTTCACTGCAATGAGAGTGGGATGGTATAATCAACCACTGAGAGAAGAAAACTGCCAACCCAAACACTCTACCTGGCAAAGTTGTGCTACAGAAATTAAGGAAATCTGAAGACTTTCCCGAACAAAAGCTGAGAGATTTCATTACCATTAGACCTGCCTTACAAGAAATGCTGAAAGGAAAGGATGCTAATTAGTAACATGAAAACATATACATCACACTAGGAAAGCTAAGTAAGTAGTCAAATTCAGAACACTCTAATACTGTAATATGATACTATATTAAACACTTTACTATAAAGGTTAAAGGACAAAAGTATTAAAAATAACTATAACTACAATAATTTGTTAATGGTTACACAATATAAAAAGAGGTTAGGTTGTAACATAAACATAAAAGGAGGGATGAAAGGGTAAAATTTTTGTATGCAGTCCAAGTTAAGCAATAGGCATAAAATAGACTGTTTTATCTGTAAAATGTATTATGTGAGCCTCACGGTAACCTCAAAGCAAACATCTACAATACATACACAAAAGACAAAGAGAAAGGAATAAAAGCATACCACCTCAATTCACAAACGAAGGCAGCAAGAGGGGGAGAAAGGAACAAGAGAACTACAAAACAGAAAACAGTGAGATGATATTAGCAAGTCCTTACCTATCAATATTCACCAAATATAAATAGATTACATTCTCCATAGTATGGCTGAATAGATTAAAAAAAAAAAAAAAGACCCAACTATTTGCTTCTTATAGGAGACTCACTTCAACTTGAAGGACACACATGGGCTCAAAGTGAAGGGATAGAAAAGATATTCCATGCAAATGAAAACTGAAAGAGAACAGGAGCGGGGCACCGGGGTGGCTCAGTCGGTGAAGCGTCTGCCTTCGGCTCAGGTCATGGTCCCAGGGTCCTGGGATGGAGCCCCGCATCGGGCTCCCTGCTCCGTGGGGAGTCTGCTTCTCCCTCTCCCCCTGCCCCGCACCCCACCCCCAGCTCGTGCTCTCTCTCACGCTCTCTCTCAAATAAATAAATAAAATATTTTAAAAGAGTAATACAAAACAAAAGAGAACAGGAGTAGCTATACTTATAACGGACAAAATAGACTTTAAGCCAAAAGCTATAAGAGACAAAGGTGAAAAAAGAAAGAACTCAAATAAAAAACCTAACTTTATACCTGAGAGAACCAGGAAAAGGGCAAACTCAGCCCAAAGTTAGCAGAAGGGAGGAAATAATGAAGATCAGAGCAGAAATAAATGAAGACTGAAAAACAGTAGAAAAGATGGACAAATCTAAGGGCTTCTCATCATTCCCCTTTTTCATTAATATATCATCAGCAACTGGCTGATGAGCTTGTAGTGTGTGTGTAGAGAGAGGGGGATGTGAAGACTCCTGTCTCTGCTTCAAACTGCACAGGTTCACTTTGATTTTGTTCTTAAATTTGGCTTCCCCTCCATTGTTTTACTTGGAATGATATTTTAAAAATGACAACATTCCATGATCTTATTATGTGCCTTGCAGCCTATGGAGCAGATAGTGGTTTAAGCGCTGTGAATTGTGCAAGACTGTTGAATCGCAGATCTGTACCTCTGAAACAAATAATGCGATATGTTAAGAAAGAAAAAAGATAGCAGGAGGGGAAGAATGAAGGGGGGGAAATCGGAGGGGGAGACGAACCATGAGAGATGATGGACTCTGAGAAACAAACTGAGGGTTCTAGAGGGGAGGGGGGTGGGGGAACGGGTTAGCCTGGTGATGGGTATTAAAGAGGGCACGTTCTGCATGGAGCACTGGGTGTTATGCACAAACAATGAATCGTGGAACACTGCATCAAAAACTAATGATGGAATGTATGTGATAACATAACAATAAAAAATTTAAAGAAAAGAACACGTCTGCAAATTCTTTTATGCTCCTTGAATTAAGAGATGTGGTCTATGTTCTCTAACTTTGCACCTGGGAGCCTTAAACCATTATGTAAAATATCCATATCCAGCTACGTAGAGGGACCACTGGAGAGATGGGTGTGGAGGGAGAGAAGGTGCCATCTGATCCAACCCTCAGCTGTTTAAGACCTTCCAGCTCAGACACCTGACATTGAGTGAAGGCCTTGAGACGACCCCAGTCCCAGCCATCATCCAACTGCAAAGATGTAAAAAACAAAACAAAACAAAAAAACCCTGAGCAAGAACTGCCTGGTGTAGGCCAATCAAGTCCTATATCCAAAAGCAAAATCAATGATTGCTATTGCTTCAAGTCACTGTTTTCAGATGGGTTGTTATACAGCAATTGATTACTAGAATAGACACTATAATTTTAGGTATTATTCTAAGAACACTGAAGCCTATTTTTCCGCTAATGTTCTATTACTGATTCTTCTTTGGGTTTTAGAAAAGCCAGCAGGATTTAAAGCGGTAAAGAATTGTTTTAGTTCATTGTAAAGCCTAGCCAAAATTTTATTGCCTTTCTCTGGAACCTGGCGTCCTAGACATGTTATCTGAAAGGAAAACTGGGGAAATCCCTTACATCTCTTTGATTTGGTAATCCTACTTCCTTTCTTTTTCTACATAAGACGTTTCATTTCAAAAAAGCAGAACCCTTAGTAAGAGTCATAGATCACATACTGCCTGGGCATAGCCCCCGCCTCACACACCAGCCCTGAATTTGGATGGAAGGCAGGCCAACATCAATCATGCCTTCTCTCTCATTTCCTAACATCTTCCCCAGGGCAGGGTAATGGCTCAGCAGATGTACCATTCCACCCTGTGATTCATTCAGAACAAAGTCCTGCCTATCACCCACTCACTTTCTTTCTATTCCTGTCTGCTCCTATAAAAGGCAGGCAGAACCACCAGAGGAGCAGAGAGGCTGAGACCAACACAGAAACCTCCAGCTCTCACGCCCAGTCTCCCTGCTCCCCGCTGACATGAAGGTCTCCGCAGTGCTTCTGTGCCTGCTGCTCACAGCCGCCACCTTCAGCCCCCAGGTGCTCGCCCAGCCAGGTAAGTCCCTCTCTCTTTCCCTTCGAAGCCCATCACCACATCTCTGGGTTCTCACGGGCCACCAGGGCAGGAGGATGACCCACGCTCTCCTGTTTGTGACTGCTTTCCAAGATCAGGAGAGTCAGAGAAGGACAAGGAGTGAAACTGATCACACGGTTGCTCCCGAGAATTCCAGCTGTGGACCCCAAATCCAGTCCTTCCAGGACTCCAGCTCTACAGTCATCCCCTCAGTACAGTTACTGCCTCTGCTCCTTGTAGCAGTGTTTGGGGGGACTGGGGTGATCCAAAAGAGGGGGCCTCTGGCGGAGGGTGTGCAGGGCATTTCCAGATGTGGTGGAAGGGAAAGGAGGAGACCCAGAATCTGGATGGTGCTTCATTCAAGTCCAGCATCCGGAGACAGGGCTCCGCAGAGGAAGCGCAGGGATCAGGGAAACTCACAACCAGGCATAGATTGCTCAGAGCCTAGAGGGGGACCCATAGCTGCAGTCCTGCTGCCTGAGGAATTGGACTATTCTATGAGCCCCTCCTAACAACACCCAGAGCTGTCCCCAGTTCCTCTTCTCCTCTCAGTTAGCAGTGGTATCCTTCCAATTTACAGTCGGTACCAATGAGACTGAGAGTTTCAGGACGGAGACACAGGACTTAGGGTGGGCAGCTTCCCTTTCCTTTGACTCTCCTCCTTACCATTCCCTAACTTATAAATAGAAAGTCCCAGCACGCACCCTAAATAGCCTTTGTTGTTGTTTTGACAGACGGGATTAATATCTCAACCACCTGCTGCTATAGATTTACCACTAAGAAGATCCCCATCCGGAAGCTGAAGAGCTACAGAAGAATCACCAGCAGCTATTGTCCCCGGGAAGCTGTGATGTGGGTGACGCCATGACCACCCGCACTCAAACCTTGATCCTGAGTTCCACTCCCAGGCAGTGGATAGGGTTATTATAAGACTTCAGTTGGAATTTAACCCCCAGATGCTTAGACCAGCTCTAATCCAATCCCAGAAATTTTTTTATGGGAAAAGTGAATTCGAGAAAATAGAGACTTCCCAGTCTCAACTCCCTGTCCAGGTGTTGGTTCAGATGTCAGTTCCTTCATCCAGGAGACAAAATGGTTTCTTTCACCAGGGCCAGCAAATGTAGCTCCTTCCCCTGAGGCTCCTTCCATCCTCCTCCATGACCCCAGGCTAATGGGTCAGGCAGGTTTCCCACAGAGTGGGTCACAATCCCAGGTTGACTCTTCAGTGTACTCTAACTGCCCTCTCTTCCTACAGCTTCAAGACCAAACTGGCCAAGAAGGTCTGTGCTGACCCCAAGCAGAAGTGGGTCCAGGATCTCGTGGAGTACCTGGAAAAGAAAACCCAAACCCCAAAGCTGTGAACACTCATGCCCATAATGAAGCCAAGCCAGTACTCAGGAAACAATTTATATTCCCTATCCTTTCCAACATACCTTCTGAGATTATTCTATTACAATTCTAGGGCATATGAGATTTGTATAATAATGTGAATCATAGTTTTCTTAAGTAACACTCTGGCGGAGGGTGTGTTAATAATTTAATGTGCTCTGGAATTGGATGTGTTTTAAATGTACACCCTTGGACATATCACATCACTTCAACCCCCTAAAAACTGCAGGACGCTCTCTTCCTCTCTACCTCACTGTGGTATTGTGAAATTACTTGCATGAATCCATGCAAATATGCATATATTGAAGTTTTAAGAGGGGATGTCCCTCTGAAATCATAATATTATTATAGAACTGAATATTTTTATATGTACAGCTCTTGAATTTTCACATAAAATATATTTTTGGAAAAACTTGACTTTGATGGCTTTTTAAAGGACAAGATAAAGCTGGTGGGAGTACCAGGGAGAGGAGAGCTGGTTTCAGAAGGTGGAGCTTGTGTTCCAGGGGAATGGGCATATGATGGACTCTGGGCTTGCCCGGAGGCTGGGCTCACCTGCATGGCAAGGAGAGTCAGGTTGGCTGGGGCCAGGTTTAGCAAGCTCTGAAGCTCTAGCTGACATCAGCTTCAGCCATTTGTTCAAATACCTTCTTTCTTTCCAAAATCATTTCCTTTCTTTCCAAAATCATTTCCTTTCTCACCATCCCATGCCCTATCCAACAGCCTCTCCCCTCAGCTGTTGCATCAGTCTTACAGCTGGCTGGTTTTCTTTCTTCTAACCCTTGAATCCAGAATAATACAAGTATCACCTGCATTGAGGAACCAGGGAGGGAATCAACAGATGACCTCAGAGGTTCCCTTCCACATCTGGGAACCACATGTTTTAAAGATTTCTATTTCTATAGGTTGAGGAAGAGCAAGGAGGGTAGGAGGAGGGTGTGAAGGGTATGAGCAAGGAGGGTAGGACAAGACAGCATACTGACAAACTCTTGATAACCTTAAGCTGAGCTTCTTGGAGAAAGAGGATTACATCAAAACTCCCATAGACATTTCAAGGTGTCAGGAGAATTAAGACACTTTGATGGCAAGTAGAAAATTCCCTGGTGACTCGTGGGTGCTCAGGCCATTATGGATGCTCAGGCCAGGTCCAACAGCCCTTTCTGTGCCCCCTCTCCAGCCCGATAGTCCTCATTCCCAAACATCAGTAAGGAGTGTAATCTTAAATGCCAGTGGGGAACTACAGTAGGCTGACCAAGCATAGACAGGAAATAGATAGATACTATAGTACAATGAAACACAGCTAGGCCTGTGGTGCAGGCAAATATCAAGCAGTGTCAGGTAGTAGGATGGGCAAGAAGAGATGGGTTCCATGTGCCCAGGGCCAAAAAGGATCTGATCACACTCTCTTTGTCAAGCTTATCCTTCCATTTCCAAGGAATTCTGAACTCATTTGTCCTCATTGGGCCTGTTTGGACACAGCATTAAAGAGAAATTCCAAACCACAACCAGGAACAGAAGCTGATACATAACTGGGCATGGAGTTTAATGGTACTAAAAATCAGACTGCGTGTACAATTAATATGCCTAGTAAATTAGGGCAAGTTATTTTTCCTGACTGGGCCCCCATCCATGGAGATTTAGGTAGATCAATGGCTCTCATATTGGCATCAGTATCTCTTAGATATTAATAAAAATGTAGATTTCCAAGTACCATCACTAAAGATTCTAATACAGAGGGTTGGGTGGGCAAGGTGCCCCTTCCAACCTTTTAACTAGTTCCCAGCCCTGTCTGCAGAAGACTGAAGGGTACACCCTGATGTCCTCTTTCAGATCAGTGCAGTCTCTGGGATTGACATGCATCTCTGGCTTAGACATGAAGAGTGCCTCTGGTCTGAACTTTCCCACCTCCTAAACTTGGCTGTTGGGCATGCACCAGCCTTAGAATGGCTGAAGTTGTAAATGCCCACCACATGTTCATGTGTTCTTCTGCATTTTCCAGCCTACATTGCATTTATTTAGGGCCATATGACTGGATTCTAACCAACTGGGTGAGCACCAAAATGATGTAAGCCACTTCCCCATAAACAGCTCATACTTCTGGGCTTCTCTTCCTCTGTCATGCTGACCTTGGAGGCAACATGCTCCAAAAATCTCAGCCTTCAGATGGAGGCAGCCCATGTCCTTAAGCCACTAGAGGAGAGCCGCTTGGCCCCTGCTCTGTGACAGGCTAAAGAAATAATCCTTTGTTAGGTTAAGCCACTGAAGTGGGGAGCCTAGTTTAACCCCAATTAATAGAGGAATTGGTACCGTGATCGTGTGTTGCCAGTAGAAACCTAAAATGTGTAGCATTGACTTGACATTTGGCAGCAGGCAGTGAGGAAGCTACCTCAGGTTGAAATGATGGAGAATCTTGTTACAAAGTATCAAAGCTGTCGGGTCCTCCCTGCTGAAATTATAGCTCCAAGGAGAGAGTTTTTAAAATATGCATTAGTAATGCGTTGGTTGGTTTTGTCTGCATTGGTCAGGATATTGAAAGAAAGAGATGAACTCAGGAAAGCACTGACTCGTTTTAACATAAAAATGAAATGGAATAAAGTCCACAAATTCAGAATCTTACATTGTTGGAAAAGTCATCTATTTGTAGGTCCCAAACATTAAGAAAGGTTTAATTTAAGGGGAAAAAGGTAAAAAGAGTTCAGTAATAAAAATCCAGGCAACAAACAAACAAACAAAAAAACTCCTGAGTTGGACGAAGTGACTTAGGGCAAAAATCAGATTGAAGTTGTCGCCTGGTATTTCAAGCCTCATTAAGAGGAACGGGGAGAGAGGAAAAGGCAGAAAAATAATTTGAGAAGTATACCTAGAAAGCAACGGGCTGTGGCTACTGGAATATGGAATTGGCTGGGTGGAAAGAGATCAGAAGCCTTCTAAGTTCTCAAGAGAGCTAGACTATAGTGCCAATAAAATCATGAATGAGCCTGCACTGAAAACAAGAAGCCATTGACCATTCAAAATGAAAACAAACTTCAAGCTCTATAGTGTAGCAAATCATCTTCCAAGGCTGCAGAGCCCTGGAGGAGAATATCCCCCTTCCAAACCCACCTCAGAGGTGTCCAAGGGAAATAATGTAGAAGGAAGGACCTCACAAAAGCAATCAGGAGCCAAGATCAAAAAGGCAAAGTGCTTCACCAGATTGCAGAATCAAGCCTAACCAAGGGTGAGGGACTTATACAACATCTGCCTCAAGGACTGCAGGATCGCTAAAGAGCATTGGCCCACTGGTGCGCCATCTTCCCCTCCACGAATGAAGGTGTTGGTTGCAAGCAACTGTCCTCTTCAAACTTGAAATATTATGTCAGGGTCAAATAACTGGTCTTTTAGTTCAGAGGTCACTGGACTAAGTAGATCCATGCCCTCACCTGACAGAGAGGACCACTTACTATCCAGAGATCCCGGACATTTAGTTTGATGCAATGACTTTATAGGACTTTGGGTTGGTCTCTCTTGGGGATTGGTTGATTGCGTTAACCTATGTTGAGAAGCATTGAGCAAAGGACAGACTGCATAGAAGCTATTAGCATTTACCAAGTCTTCCTGTGTTTCTCAGCCTTCTTTACACTTGGAGTTATATGATGATGTAGGGCCACAAGATGGAGACACATGTGGTAGAAGCTGTTTCCATGCCTGGTTCTTTAAAGCCCCCTATACAATCTATCAACCCTCTCTCCCTTGCCTTGGTGAACTTGGGGGCCACGTGTTCCAGATGCTGGCTATGATTTACAAGCAGCTGGATCGCTGAGTCACTCCTCAGAAAAGAGTGCCTTGGGCAAGCTACGTGACCAATATCAGGCTGTGACATGAACAACAAAGAAATACCTGTTGCAGTGAGCTGCTGAGATTTCTGTCCTTGTCATGGAAGCATAGGCTAGGGTTACTTTGACCAATTGATGCCGGGAATTATTTTCACCATCTGTCCCCATTTTCATCGTCATACAAAGGACTAAAGTTGGTAGCCCAAGAGGATTATACAAGATAATGTAATAACCAGTAAGAATATTTTAAACAAAAGAGCTTTTTTCTTCTCAGGGCAACTCTGAGAAGCAAGCTTTACTTTTATAAATGACCTCATGGAAAAGGAAGCTGCTTACCTTCCCTAAGCCTCTGTTGTCTTGTTTTTAAAATGAACTTAATTGGAATACCTACTTTGTAGGTTTGTTGGGATGATTAAATAAGTGAACCCACAGGAAATGAAGCAATATAGTGCTTGCATACATTGAGTAAGCTGGCGTTGCTACTGAGAACTTGCTATTTGTTAGATACATTGTTAGAATTTTTATGCTAACATATATTTGGGGTAATCTTCCTCCAAAAGTAACAAGATACTGTAGACATGGTCTCAGTGACCCTTGAGAGAGAAAGGTAGCACGCACTACTTGGTTCTGTTTTGCACAAGGGAAAGGGGTGTCCAGGGGCTACATGTGGTAAAGGTTTCACAAGATGGGGAATCCTGAGACAGAGGTTCTAGAATCAGGCTCAGCCTAAAACGCACCATGTTGCCTTAGGGATTTTGTCACTGGTCTCCAAGTCTCTATTTTTTTTTTTTAAGATAGGGCTGGGGGGCACCCGGGTGTCTCAGTCGGTTGAGTGCCCCACTCTTGGTTTCAACTCAGGTTGGGATCTCAGAGACCTGGGACCAAGCTCCACATCTGGCTCCATGCTCAATGCAGAGTCTGTTTGAGATTCTCTCTCTCCCTCTCCCCGTGCTCTTCCCTCTGCTCTCTCTCTCTCTAAAAATAAATAAAATCTTTAAAAAAATAGATAGGGTTAGAATAAAGTTAATATTAATGTCTCTTTCAATGCTGTGTATAACTTTGCATTCTTAGAGGAAATCTAGAATACAGCTGTAAACAAACAAACAAACCCCAGAGTCTTGATTCCTGGGATCCTTTCCACTGGTCATTCATCCTTCCTTGGAAAACACTCAGAAAGCTAAGATTTTGTTTTCACAATGAAGAACTCATTTCCTTCCCATCACTGAGACATTCCCCACCAACCCCCATATTTATCAGAAACC